ACATCAAACAACGCTAAAATCATGAATCACCCTCCAATTCAAACTTAAAGAACTTGAAACTTCAAAATTCTACAACCGATGCCGAAACCTATCAAACCACGTACGATTGACCCCAAAATTTGTACACAAGTCATATTCAACATTACGGACCTACTCCAACTTCCGTAATTGGAATCCGACCTCGATATCAAAAATTTCACTATCGGTCCAAAACTCCAAAAATTCGATTTTCGCCAATTCAAGCCTAAATAAGCTACGGACCTCCAAAGCACAATTCGGACACGCTCCTAAGTCCAAAATCACCCAACGGAACTGACGAAACTCCATTCTGGAGTCGTCTTCACACATTTCCGACTACGGTCAAAATCCTAAGACTTAAGCTCCCATTTTAGGGACTAAGTGTCCCAAAACACTCTAAAAACTAAAACGAACCCTCCCGGCAAGTCACAATAGCATAAATAGATATGGGAGAAGCAGTAAATAGGGGATCGGGGCTATTACTCTCAAAACGACCGGTCGGGTCGTTACACCCTAAAACAACTTTTGTTACTTGACCCTTTATTCCCATCTTTCTTTGAAAAAAAAAAGAAGAAAAAAAAAATCTAGTACATCGGGACCTCAATTTTTTTTCATGCACATGGATAAAATATTAGGGATAAAGAAAAGAGAAGCATCTTAGTATGTTCTTTTCTTACACGGATCATTTATTTTTCATGCAATGTGTAGGAAAATGTAAATAACTCATACATATAAATAATTTTGTTGTTGTTGTATTAGTCATATGTGTAATGTACTTATAATTATATTATGTTTGCTACGTAATTATTTGTATCATAATTAGAATTTTCTCAAAATTGCATTAAAAGGTCACTATTGAATCATTGGTTTAACTTTATTTTTTTTCCCTTTTCTTCTCTGAAAATACTAATATTTATTCATATACTTCTTTTTGTATGTCAAACCACGGGAAGTAAATATAGATATCTCTCAAAGAAAACTTGGATCAAATTTCAATTGTAAAAATATTTGCTTAATTGATTCATGTACGACACATACAATATTCAAAGAGAAGAAATATTTCTCTCATTTAGGTATGTGTAAGGCAGATGTTACTACAATTTCTGGTAGTAGTAATCTAATTGAAGGCTCTGGAAGAGCCACTATAACTCTTCCTAATTGAACAATACTTATCATAGAGAATGCAATATTCTCCTCCAAGTCCAAGAGGAACTTGTTGAGTTTTAAAGATATCCGTCGAAATGGATTTCATATTGAGACAATAAATGAGAATAATATCGAATATCTCATCGTTACCAAGAATGTCTCTGGCCAGAAAAGGATTATTGAGAAGTTTTCATCTTTATCTTGTGGCCTGTATTAGACAGGAATTAGTACAATTGAGGCACATTCTATCGTAAACCAAAAGGTTACTGATTCCAATACTTTTGTACTTTGATTCCAATACTTTTGTACTTTGGCATGATCGATTGGGACATCCTGGATCAATTATGATGAGACGAATTATAGAAAACTCAAATGGGTATCCATTAAAGAATTTAAAGATTCTTTTAAATAATAATTTTTCTTGTACTTCTTGTTATCAAGGCAAGTTAATTATTAGACCATCACCAACAAAGGTTGGGATTGAGTCCCCTGCGTTTTTGGAACGTATACAAGGGGATATTTGTGGACCTATTCACCCACGTAGTGGGTCATTTAGGTATTTTATGGTCTTAATAGATGTATCTTCTAGATGGTCTCATGTGTGCCTATTGTCATCTCGCAACCTGACGTTTGCAAAATTAATGGCACAAATAATCGATTACGTGCACAGTTTCCCGATAATCCAATTAAGTCTATTCGACTTGATAATGCTGCTGAGTTTTCATCTCAAGCATTTAATGATTATTGCTTATCAATTGGGATAAAAGTGGAACATCTTGTAGCTCATGTTCACATTCAAAATGGCCTTGCAGAGTCTTTGATTAAACGTCTGCAATTGATAGCAAGATCGTTACTCATGAAAACGAAATTACCCACCTCTGTTTGGGGTCATGCCATTTTACATGCAGCAATACTAATTCGTCTCAGACCGACAAATTATCATAAATATTCTCCGTTGCAATTAGTTTTTGGTCATGAACCTAATATATCCCATCTAAATATTTTTGGATGTGCTGTATATGTGCCTATAGTACCGTCATATCGCACAAAGATGGGTCCCCAAAGAAGGTTAGGAATATATGTTGGGTTTGAATTGCCCTTCATTATTCGCTACCTCGAAACATTAATGGGAGATTTGTTTACTGCTCGATTTGTAGATTGTCGATTCGATAAGGCATTTTTCCCAAAATTAGGGGGAGAAATTGGTGAAATCAAACGGGAAATTTCATAAAAAAATTCATCATTATCTCATCTTGATCCATGTGCCTCTATTTGTGAAGAAGAGGTGCAAAAGATTATCCATTTATAGAAAATAGTAAATCAAATTCCAGAGGCATTTAGCGATCTAAAAAGGATAACGAAATCACATATCCCTGCAGAGAATGTTCCAATCCGTATTGATGTCCCTGTTGGACAATCTTCTAGTGTCATAGCTAATGAGTCAAAAGCACGCCTAAAGTGTGGCAGACCATTGGGTTCTAAGGATCGAAATCCTAGAAAAAGGAAAATAAATGATCAAGATGACACTACGAAAGAGTCTCATAAAGAAACCCATGATTTAACCAATCCTGAGATTCATGAGGATATCGATGAGCCTGAGACTCAAGAAAATAAGGAACTATCAATAAATCCAATCGATATTGAGACAAATTTGAATTGATTGAATATAGTGGTGGATTATGTCTTTGCATACAATGTTGCATCTAGCATTATGCAAGATAATGAGGATCTTGAACCTCAATCAGTTGGAGAATGTCGACAAAGACGTGATTGACCAAAATGGCAAGAAGCAATCCAATCTGAGTTGGATTCACTTACGAAACGTGAAGTTTTTGGGTCTGTAGTCCAAACACCTAATAGTGTTAAACATGTTGGCTATAAATGGGTCTTTGTACGTAAAAGGAATGAGAAAAATGAGGTACAAAGATATAAGGCACGCCTTGTTGCACAAGGATTTTCACAAAGGCCTGGTGATTATGAAGAGACGTATTCTCTTGTTATGGATGCTATAACGTTCTGTTATCTCATTAGTCTTATTGTCCATGAAAAGTTTGACATGCATTTAATGGATGTGGTTACAGCCTACCTTTACAGCTGACTTGATAATGAGATATACATGAAAATTCTCGAGGGATTTAAAATGCGTGACGCACATAATTCAAAGTCCATAGAAATGTTTTCAATCAAATTGCAAAGATCTTTGTATGGTTTAAAGCAATCAGGAAGAATGTGGTATAACCGCCTTAGTGAATATTTATTAAAGGAAGGTTATATAAATGATGCCATTTATCCATATATTTTTATAAAGAAAATAACATCGGAGTTTATTGTACTTCCCGTATATGTTGATGACATAAACTTTATTGGAACTCCTACAGAACTCCAAAAGGCAATTGATTATTTAAAGAAGGAATTCGAGATGAAAGACCTCGGAAAGACAAAATTATGTCTTGATTTGCAAATTGAACATTTGGCAAATGAGATTTTTGTTCATCAATCTGCCTACATAGAAAAGGTATTAAAACGATTTTACATGGATATAGCATATCCATTAGGTACTCCGATGATTGTTCGATCACTTGATGTGAATAAGTACTCGTTCCGACCTCAAGAAAAGAATGAAGAGCTTCTTGGTCCTGAAGTACCATATCTTAGTGCAATTGGTGCACTAATGTATCTTGTTAACACTACAAAGCCTGACATAACTTTTTTAGTTAATGTCTTAGCAAGATATAGAGCTGCTCCTACAAGGAGATATTGGAATGGAATCAAAGACATATTGCGGTATCTAAAAGGGACTACAGATATGGGCTTATTTTATGGCAATAATTGCAGTCCTGATCTTGTTGGTCATGCCGATGCTGGGTATTTATCTGACCCACACAAGGTTCGATCTCAAACAGGTTATGTGTTTACATACGGAGGCACTGCAATATCTTGGCGATCGACTAAGTAATCAGTTGTGGCTACTTCATCTAATCATGCTGAGATAATTGCTATTCATGAAGCAAGTCGAGAATGTGTATGGTTGAGGTCTATAATACACCTTGTTCGAGATAAATATGGTTTGAAGTGTGACAAACTACCCGCAATTTTATATGAAGACAATGCAACATGCATAACTCAATTGAAGGGAGGATTCATAAAAGGAGATAGAACAAAACACATTTCACCAAAATAATTTTTTCACACATGATTTTTAAAAGAATGGTGATATCAGTGTGCAATAGATCCGTTCAAGTGACAATATGGCTGATTTGTTCACAAAATCTCTACCGACGTCAGCCTTTAAGAAACTAGTGTACAAGATTGGGATGTGAAGGCTCAAGGATGTGAATTGATGCTCTCATTAGAGGGAGTTAATACGCGGTGTACTCTTTTTCCCTTACAAGGTTTTGTCCCACTGGATTTTTCTTGCAAGGTTTTTAATAAGGCAACCAAAAAGAGTATTTCTAAACATGTGTACTCTTTTTCCTTCACTCAGTTTTTTTTCTTTTTCTAATAAGGTTTTAACGAGGCACATTATCTATGAACATCCAAGGGGGAGTGTTATAAGAAATATCAAATTATGGTAGATGTCTACTCTTCCTTCATGATCTTCATCTCAAATGCTTAATGACATATTCAATGACATATTTTCTATGTTTAATGACATATTCAATCACTTTTCATGCCTATATAAAGGCATTGTAATAAATAGAAAAATATATATAATTGAAAAAAAAATAAGAATCTCTTCTCTCTTTCTCTATATATTTCTTAGCTTATTTTTTTTGCTTGTTCCGTATTGTTACTCAGTTATATTTTATAACAAAAAAAAATTTAATAACGAAAATTTTTAGGAGGAGCTATTGGAGATTTACAAGAGCACGAAAAATCAAAATTCGAAAAGCCTTTAAATAAGCGCAGTTTCAAATCTTCAGCTCCTCATTTCTTTCTCGTGAAGATGTCAATTGCAGTCTCGCAGCAGATCTCTCTTTTCCAATCCCAAATCGAAAGCCGGAGGTTTGTTCCGTGCTCATTTTCTCTGTCTCTATTTCCGATTTATCAATAATTTTCATTCTGATTCAGTAAAATGCGCTTGATCTGAGCATGGTTTTTTGTGTGCAGATTCAATGAAGGAACTATTCGAGTTCTCGAATCCTTTTTAGCTTCAAACGACTTCAAATACTTGGACGGAGTGGTGCGCGCTTTGAAACAGTTCGTGAGAAACGAATCTCTCTGCATTATTCAGGAAATCGCTGGAAAATCTACGGAGCATAAGCTTCTGATCGTCGATTTTCTAGTACGCGTTTTTGCTCTCATTGGAGATACTGAGGTATACAACTTTGGCTTTATTGTGTTTAAATTGATGCGTATTATTGTACATTTTTATTTTGATTTGGCAAATTATTACTAGTAGTTATTAGCAGACAGAGTTATTCAGAAATAGGAGTTGTTTTCTGTAGGATGATGTTGATGACACTACAAATGCATATAGTGGAAGAGAGTCTGATGCGTTAAACCATGTATTTTGCTGAATTTTCATGATAAGTAGAAGACTTACTGAATTTTTTTGGGCGTTGTGTTCGGTAATTGTATTCTCTTTGAACTATATATGTCATGGAAAACTTCTGCTTAGGAAGTTGCTTTATTAGAGGATTTTAGTGTTCGAATGCACTTTAATATGTGGTACTTAGTAGATTACGGATAACTTATATAGCTGTAGAAGTGGTGGTGCTTTTGGTGGTGGTCGCAGGAAGTAATGTGAGTAGCAAAAGATGTGAACAATTATTAGCTGCTGGCTGGAGAAACTGGTATTAGGTTGTACCGGTAAAGGAAATATATCCTTCCTTTTGTATATATATGCAAACTTTTTTAGGGAAAAAGATAGAGAAAATGAATTACTTAGTATAGGCGATATTAGGAACATGAACCATTTGACTCTCCAGTAAGTGTAATGAAGGAATAATGCTAAGTGCCACTATATACCTGATGGCTTAAGCTGAAATTCTTCGAAGCGAAGGAGACGAGATCAATTTTATGACTCGTACCCATATTTATGCATCACAATTTGGCTGAAGTGTGAGATTTAAGAGTTTACTGAGTCTTCAACTGAATGTCATTGTACATAGTCGTGAAAGTTTATTTGATATTAGAATCATGGCACCGTGGTTCAAAATTCATCTGTTGGAACTTGCCAGAGATGCTTACAAAGCTTATCAGATGTTACAGTGCCTTAAATGTTATTTGACATCCAAAGTGGTAGGCATATCCTATGCTGTGAGACTTTGAAACATTACAACTGACAATGGTTTTAGTTTCTTCTATTTTATCATTTTTCTTTTTTGTCTTTTTTTGTTAATAATTATGTAATATCTTATTTTTTGTTCCAAGTACGTGACTCTTGGCTATTTGGATATTCACAGAGTTGCTTGGCCTTGAGATATGAGGCATTGCTTATGAGAGAGCAAAAAGCCACCAATGATCAGAGACTTCTTGTTTCATATAGTGAGTGGCTCACTTTTGCTGAGCATTCACTGGAGAATGGATTTTGTTCCATCGCAAAGAAGGTAAATTTCTGTCAAAATTATGTACTTGTAAGCATATTACATGTGGAAATGGGCACAGAATAAAACTTTTAGTATGTGCAGTTCGTAGCAAATTTAAGCTCACTTCATCAGTTTTTGATCTCTACTTTAGAATTCATTGTATGCTACTGGCATGTTAAGGTTGGCATTATTCTAAACTAAAGTACTGCTCGTACTGTTTTCTTGTTCTTCATTTATGTGCATGTAAAGGACTAGTTCCAAAATCACAGCTTATAGGTTCTCATTGTGTCATCATGTTTTCCCCTTATGGATATGTTTGTAAATCAGCCAGAAGTGAACTTCTTAATAGGTTCTAGCTGGGTTGAAATAACTGATATTATTTATATGATCTGATATTCAGCGAAAACCCAAAACTCCGGTTATCTCTATGCCTCTTGTTGGAGGAAATCTCTTTTATGTAGGTTACATAACTAGGAATTACACTTCACTGCTGAAAACATCTCCTTATAATTGGCCCCTTCTCCTCAGCTATGAGTTCTCCTGTTTCTACAATAATATGGACAATTTGCGATGGTAGGAATTAGATCAGTCAAGCTACTTAACTATTGCATGTTTAACATCTTGCTGACAATAAAAAGCTGTGTATCACGCGATGCTAGCTATTTTGTGCATTGCCTTTATGTACCTTGTATCTTATGGCATCAAAACTCTAGAGATGTTATTATATCCTACAGCTTATAGCGAGCCTATCTGAATATCTGCCTCTGAATTGTACTTTTGCAGGCATGTGAAAAGGCACTTTTATGCTTTGAGATGAACATCGTTGTTGACCCTGGAAAAGATGACTTTGTAATTGAAAAAATTAAGAAACTTAGAGATGTTGCTGTAATATCGGCTTCTTCAAGATCAGGTATCAAGTATTAGCATTTCGTTAAGATCACTCATGTGTTGACCTTCATAGTTAACGTCAGTCGTACTCCACTTCGGTATACTGTGCTCTATGATTTGCTTCTATTATCATCACTTCCTGTTTACTTAATGGCAGATTAGATAATGTTATGGCTACCCTGTCTAAAAATGTTTCATGTTATCTAGAGCATTTACAATTTCTAGAACCAAATTTGTGTGAACCATTTAACATTTTCATGAAAGGTCCATTATTTACTAGCGCAGAGTAATGAGTATACATGTACAAGGCTGACTATGGGATTATAAGTATCACATGGCTTTTGAGTTATGTTGTTTGAATTGACTCATTTTGAGTAGTCTTGTGATTCCAAGAAAAGATAACTACTCAATGTTCAGTTCCGTGAAAGTAGTCTGTTTTCTTGAGGAAGATTGGACCACAGCATGTTGCACAGTATGCATCACTCACATCTTACGCAAATACAAGTATTTTGGTTATTAACTTTTGTAATCCTCACGTATTGATTAATTTGTTTGTTATGGTAATATTCACAATTGTTACCAAAAAAAAACTTTTGTAATCCTCAAGAATGGCATCGGTGTTTTCCTAGCACAGAATCTATTTTGGTGGATTTGACGAAAGCAAGTGCAAAAAGATTTAACAATGACAATAAGGACATAGCATTTGAAAACTTGAGAATCTGCTTATAATTACTCAAGGGTTAAAAGGAAGTAGGAAAGATAGCTGTATTTCCTTAGTTTTAGCTTTAGAAGGTACTTTTCTCCCAGAAACTAGTATCTTTTAACATATAGCTATTAGCTTCTTTTCTTTGAATCATCAAGAAACTAGAAACTGCAAGGGAAGATGATAATAGCAGAATTTGAGCAGGTTGATATATCTTAATTATATGAAAAAATCAGGGATAGGTAAAGGATGCAGCAGCCTGAAAAGTAAAAAAAACAAAAAAAACAAAAAAAACAAAAAAACTAAGGACTTTTAGCTTTGTTTTTTACTTCTTATGCATTGTATGTCCTTGACATCTCATAGTTCAATTATTGGATTGGATTATTGAATTGAATTCTATAATTTAGTGGAATGTCAGCAAATGTTCCTTCAGAGCATGTAACAAGAAGGGGCGGCGAAGGGGAAGTTAACAATTATCAGTTCATTATTGCTATTGCTTTCTTGTGGTACATTAGTTCAGGCGCAGGCAGCAGAGTACTTCAAGAAGAAAACAACTCTGCAGACCTCACAAGGATCCTACATTTCTGTGGAAGCCAAAAGCTCAGGAAGCACTCTATTTAGAAATGGAATCAAAAGACGACACAGGCGCCAATTGGATGAACATCGACATTTGGAACAGAACCAAGAAGCGTCTTGAGACGTGCCAAATATTTTGGTAGGTTATTCTGCCAATTTTCTTTCCTTCCCCTGCCCACTTAATGCCAAATATCGTATTAATTTCATCATTTAATTACAATTTGGTAGTGCAGGAATGATTTTTCGTAGAAGTATTACAATATTAGAGGTCACCAATTTGACAAAAAGATCAACTGCCCTTAGCGCAGGAATGATTTTTCTTATAAGTATTACAATATTAGAGGTCACCAATTTGACAAAGAGATCAACTGCCCTTCCATATGGTTAGTACAATCTCTCCCACAGATGATTACTTTGATTGTAGCACGATTCAATTGCTACAATAGATTTGAATCTTATAAGAAATTTGGTCGTATACGTATGCCTGCGAAAAGAGCCAACTTTTGTGCTGTGGCAAGAACCTCTTGATTCATCTACTCGCTCTCCTGTTCAACATTTGCTCCTGCAATATAATAAATAATTAGACGCCCCCCCACCCCCTGGACAATTGTGATCAGCATCACTTTATGGCAATTTAGAGTATACTTAAAAAGGACAAGGTCAGACTGCCTACTTTGTCTCTTCTTGACCTGAGTCCTGCAATATGAACCTTGCATACTGGTGATAAGCCTTCAAATAAAATATGTTTCTTAGGGAATCTGTAATTAATTCTAAGCAACAAACAATGAGTATATTTGCAGCTAGAAATTTAATTAGCTTCGGCCCCTCTCCATGCAATCACGTGCCTATGCAGTTGAGTCTTCTGTCAGTTTTCATAATTAAGCAAATTGGATTAGGTAAATCCTACGAGTCAAAACCAGCGTGTTGCCTTAGTAAGAAAAGGCTCAGGCATATAAAAATTTCTTGAAATCAAATTACGCATACCAACATTCACAACTAATTGATGATGGATTCTTAATGAAACCTCTTATGGACTATGACCGATCTTAGCCCCTAACTCACCCTTTCTTGACATTGCAGAGGAAATATTAGATTTTCGTGGAAATTTTTTCTTAAATTTTCATTACACGGGGGAAGGGGGAGGGGAAGGGGAAGGGGGATAGTAAGAATTATCTCACTATTGTATGAAAAAACTCCACCTTCTAACGATACCATTAGACAATAATACCTTGGCAGCTATGTTGCTGGACTCTCTAAAATGATGCCGCACCTGTATCGGATTCTTCAAAAATACACTATTTTTGGAGTCCAAACAACATAGCTTGGCAGTGGTCTTCATGGAAATAATTCTCACCAATGTTTGCCACTTTTTTTCCTTTGATTTTTCCTTTACATTTCTGTTTGCAATATAAAAAAAAGGCAACTTGGTACACAGAGTATCTCGCATCCACACATGGTCCGGGAAAGGGCCGCATCCCTAAGGGTGATGTAGATTGTCTACCCTAGTGCAAACATTAATGACTGCTTTCACGGTTCAAGCCCGTGACTTATATGTGATACGAAAATAACTTTACGCTCCAAGGTTACTTTCAAAACTGACCCAAAAAATGAAAAAAGATAAATTCTCAGCCGAATAGAACCCGAAGCCTTGGGAGTTGGGAACCCAAGAGCACTTTCCAGCAGCAAGTGGATCTCCGCTAAGTTGTCTCTTCAAACTCCCCAAAACTGTAAGCAGGCAAGTAGCTATGCTGTGAAAGATTAGATTACCTTGAATTTCCATATTTTTAGTTGTCTTAACATAAAAAAAAGACAAAAGAAAGAAGAAAACATCCATTTTTCCAATAATCGAATCTTCCATATCACCAAGTGCAATTAATGGATGCATTGAAGCTCGCATGTTTTTTATTTTCTCTAAGACGGTACTGAAGATGTCTGTTTTTCACCCTTACTTTATTCATCACCTTAAAATAACTGATTATTGCCATAACCCCATAAACAATATTTACAAGGTTCTCATCCTGTCGACCACGTCTCTTCTTCCTAAGAGGGTACTTGATTTGAAAATTGAAATTGGAAACTGTTATAGAAGAAAAAGTACGTAATTTATGAGGTAAGGGTGAAGGGGAAAATGATTTAACTTATACTCACTAATAGTGTAAAAAATTTATTTTAAAGGTAACTTATTTCGTTTTCTAGGTTATTGATTCTACTTTTTATGCATGATACATATAACTATATTGAAAAATTAATCTAAATAATCGTCCACCCAATAATTTAAATTAAAAATAATACATGTATAATATATATATAATCGTGTATAATTATTATATAATCTATGTATACTGACTAAAAAATGTAAACCCCGAATCCGGCAGACTTCTTGTATAAAAGTTCCAACCATATTTTAGGTGATATGGTTATAATAAATTCTTTTTACTTTGTCATTGTATAAAAGTTAAATTCAAAGGAAACAGTGACTTGGTTAGTAGACTAGTGAACATAGAAAATTGGATATGATAATTATTCAATTGTGTTCTAGTAGCTGGGAAAGAGAGCTGTTTTCCTCGGAATAGAAGATAAGAAGTTTGGAATCATGTGGAAAGCATTAAATGCTGAAGAGTGAGAATCGACCTTAGGGTTCTTCAATTCTCATTTGTTTAGGAGTATCATTTCAGAAACCTCGTGATACATTTTGCACTAATTTACTGTGGAGATTTTTAATTCTAGTTGTCGTGCTAAGCCATAACTACAGAAGAATCTTTTCATTTTCATGCCAACTACTTAATGGTGAATCTGATGTGTAACAGGTTAAATTACTTAATTTTGTGCATGTTACCAGTTACCACTCATGTCCTATTAAATTACAATCCTTTTGTTGTCATTTTGGTCTTCTCCAATTAATATCCAACTTTTCCAACTCCTGGATGTTAAAGAGACGACACTTGGACGAAATTAACAAGTAACCCGCCAAAATTAATTTTCTTGCTCTTGAAAATTATTTCTTGCTCTTGATAGTGTATCTCTAAGAAGAAAGTTAAAAAAAAAAATAGAAGAGTTAACCTAAATAGCTTCCCACCAAGGCACCAACCACTAAATTAAAAATAGCTAGCTAGTGTATAATATATGTACAAACATGTGTATAGCCGTATATAATTAATATATAATAATATATGTATACCAACTAGAAAGAATAAACAATCAATTAAGCTGGTTATTTGTGTAAAGATCCCTATNTAGATTGCTAAATATGCTCGAACATAATATTTCGTATATGTACATAGGGGTGGTTGATGGCTTTTCCAGCCATTACTATAGAGGTAACTGGAAGTTGGAATTTGTGTTAAGCACGTTGTATTTTGAAGATTAAACAACTTTAACACATGGTTTACAGCCTAAACAATAATTTCCTTTAATAAGAGTCCTTAATTAATGTCTTAAACAATAATTTCCTTTAAGAAGAGTCCTTAATTAATGTCTACCAAAATATTGCTCGTCTGCCAGTGGACAAGTCAATTGACACAAATTAAACCTTAAAAGGTCTAAATGTGGAAAATGAGAGGAAAAATTTAAGGTTTGCCCAATTCGATTTGCGCCAGTATTAAATTAGTAGTATTTTGAAATTCAATAGACAGGAGTAGTAATTTTCTATTACTATATAGCTCGAGCTTCTTTTGCCTCCAAAAAGGACTGAAATTTTATTAGTGGCTCCTGCTTTCTTGTATGCACTAGTAGTATATAATTTTTCAGACCTCGCATTAGTTACCTGCAATAAGAGATAACTGTTTAATAAGTATGATCTGGTAATTAACTTGGAAAATAGAATAAAAATATCATGTTACAATAAATGTGATACTGTTATTATTCTCGTACACCGTTATTGTATATAGCTAAATTGGCCAGAGAAAAAAAAACTACTTAATGTTTAGCTTCATTTGGGTAATCTGGGTAATTTGTATCCAATTTTCACACCTAATTAAGTGGTACGATGGTTGAACAAGTTATTAGAAAGACATATTATCTAACTAAAATTTTATGTTTTCATGTGAATGTCCGCCAACAAACATTCACGTCGAGCTCATATTTCTCTTGCTCGGGGCTAGGACTTTTGCATCGTTACTCACCATTTTGCTAAACCCTAACCCTAGTTGTTCTACCAAGAATTTATTGCCCCTTGTCTTATCTAGTCTTTAATTAAAAGCACTTCTTCTTCTTCTTCTATTCTTTAAAAATATTTCATTTGCAACCTTATTCATTATTTATTACAACTAGTTAGTGTCAATATTAGTATATTGCTACAAGTATATATAGATCTCTAATATACATGAGTCAAACAATAACGTGGAATTTGATCAAACTGAATTAGTTGCCAACCTTTAAATAGTAGCCGACCTTTAACGCATCTTGGCGGTGGTCAACCTCTCAACCTTTATTCCTCATCATGATTTAATTTTAAAGTAATTAACCTAAATGTCGTCTACCCAAAAGTAGTCGATAGATATATAATACATGTATAATATAATCGTATATAATTAGTGTAATCAATGTATATCGAGAGCTGTTAATATTTTTGGCCGAAACCAAATGTGTAACGTCTTCCTTATTTACCTATTTAAACTAACTCAGAGAGTAAAATGAAGCTCAAAATGATTTTTTTGCGTTTTCGTTTTCTAAATCCATGAAGATCTAACTTTATGATGTCATTTTTACATGAATAATATTTTCTGATTGGCAGTGTTCCCAATATATTTTATTTATCAATCCATTCTATACTAGAGTAACTCTTCCTAACGCGTTATAAATAGGTTCCCAGCTCATTCTCTTCCAAGCTACACTTTGTCCTAGCTATTACTACTACTACATCTCTCTTCCTTAATTAATTCTCATTAAAGAGAAATTTCTCTTAGTTTAACTTGTCTTTTTGGCACAAAATGGGATCAGGAAGTTCTCCTTGTGCTTCCTGCAAATTATTAAGGCGTCGCTGTACCAAGGACTGCATCTTTGCTCCTTACTTTCCTCCTGATGATCCCCACAAGTTTGCCATTGTTCACAAGGTGTTTGGTGCTAGTAATGTTAGCAAGATGTTGCAGGTTTCTCCTTCTTCCTCTCACCCTTTATACATCCTTCTTATGTAATTCTATAATACATCAACCCAAAAGAACAACATTAAACCCTTTATTAATTACCTTTCACGTAGGGTTATGCAACCATTTAAATCTACGTTTCTTTTAAAAGTAAAATAAAACTTTGGAATGACTAAAAATGTCGAATGGAGAAACTCCGAGCACTTATCCCTTTAGTCGGCTCTAAATGGTGTGAATTCGGTTATTCGGACATCCCCAATGCATGTAGCAAATGAACTTGAAATGACCCAAAAAGGCGAATGGTCATGTAGAGCCGGGGCGGAGCTACCCTTGTCGAATGAGATCAACTGAAACTTATTTGTTAGAAAATTGCACTGTATAGATAGGTTAATTTGTTATATATACATAGGTTAATATGTACTAGTGTGTTTACTTCTTTATATTTTGGCTCCTATATATTAGTGAAAATTCTGATTCTGCCATTGACGTAGAAGGATGGTTTCTTCATGTTATGCAAAGTTTTGTAAGATATCTTTTTTCTTGGTTTACATTTATATGCAGGAACTTCCAGTACAACAGAGAGGAGATGCAGTAAGCAGTTTGGTATATGAAGCAAATGCAAGAGTGAGAGACCCAGTTTATGGATGTGTAGGTGCAATCTCCTTGTTACAGAATCAAGTATCTCAATTACAAATGCAGTTGGCTGTAGCTCAAGCAGAGATATTATGCATCCAGATGCAGCAAGAGCCTGTTCCCAGCTTGCCAACAACGTGTCTAATGGAACCTCATGTCGAGAAATCATCACCATTTTCAACAAGTAACGCTACTAATTACAACTTCAATAATAATCTGCAATCTTACCTCAGCTTTACGTCCTCTAGCACTAGTCATGTAATGCAAGACCCTGTAAAGAGAGAGTCTCTCTGGACATAAAAACTAGGCAGCTCTTGTTTAATTTGGTCATCTTGTTTTGTAGCTGGCTAGATGTTTTGGACTTCTTAAGTAATGAAATGCTAGCATTTCGACTGTTTCTACGGTTGAATATTACTACTCTCTCTCTCTTCTATTTTATATGATAGTAAAATCTTTAAAATTAGAATGAAACACACATGTTTTCATGTTTAGAATTTCTTTAACTTTAAATTTTTCATTTTAAATGTCACCTCCTTAAAGGATAGTAGAAATGTCACAATATATTCAAAATTACAAGTTCTAAGGGTACTTTCTGTGCGTAAAAGTATCTGTATTTCTTTCTTAAACTCAGTTTTCAGTGAAACACTACCATACATAAAACGGAGTAAGTACAATTTGCAAGTCTTTCTTTCTTTGTCCAAAATTATAGAAGGAGGTGATCACTCGGATTCCGCCAACATTTTGTGAATCTAAGGACTAAGGTCGATGTCTGAGGGTGGAAATTATCTTTTTTTCTTCTTCTAATGGGTTTTTGCAATCATGGAGAGGGATAGAGAGGACGTACTGAATTTCAAATATGAAATGGAAAGACTAGAGATTTCAAACAGGAAAGAAAAGAATATAAAGCGATGAAGAGGGGTAGTATAACTTATTTAATTTGTATTTATGTGCTCAAACCGAGGTCCCTAGCATGTGGAATTTTGTGGAGTAAGAGTGAAGTAGGGGTTTGACATTTTCATGAATTGTTAAGCTAACTAGTGTTTGAACATAGATTTGGTTGAAACTTAAAAAAAGATTTTTTTAAATTGTATTGAAAAATAATTTTTGAAAATTGAAGTGTGTTTGGACATTCATTTTATTTGAAAAAAGTTAAAGTTTAGTGAGTGGAAGAAAAACTTTCACCCAAAAACTACCATAAACCAGTTTTTCGGGAATTTAAAAAAAAATTAAAACTTTTGTCAAGAACTGATCGTATTGATGGGGTCCACACCCATTAAAAAGAAAGGGAAAAAAGGTTGCCATATAACCAAAACAAGTTTTGGCCAAACTTTTTGATATCAATTTGCAAGAATCAAATTGGCAAGTTGCAACGAGGCAAGCTTCTGATTGGTTGGAAGTGAGACCACTCTTCCTACAAATAGATACATCGGCTTCATTCTTTAGACACACAGAAGCAACGAAGCTTCAAGTTTTCACTCATAGAAAAATTGTCTGTGAAGAAAAAATAGAGAGTGTGAGCAATATTATAGTGAGGTGGGAATCTCAATAGAAGGTTATTTTTTTTGAGTGTGTAGTGATTTTTGGAGAATTTACTCGGGACTACTAGGTGTAAAATTCCTCATTATAGTGGATTACTTTGCTCCTTTCGGATCTGTGATTTTTTTCCTTATTCAAAAGGGTTTTTCTACGTTAAAAATTTTGTTGTTCTTTTTATTCTTGTTGATTACCGTATCTCGGTACTACATTATTATTCCGTTGTTATAACCGTAAATATTATTTATGTGGGAGTTTTATTCCCAATAACTGGTATCAGAGCACAGATTCTGCTTATTCATAAAAATACTGTTCACGATCGGTAGTACTATACTCGGTGAAAAATAAAATGTCCAGAGTAAAGTATGAGGTAGTAAAATTCAACAGAGATAGCGGTTTCTCAACATGGCAAAAAAGGATGAGGGATCTACTCATCCAACAAGGATTACACAACGTATTAGACAGTGATGCCAAGAAGCCTAATACCATGAAAGCTGAGGATTGGACTGACTTGGATGAAAATGCTGCTAGTGCAATCAGGTTGTACTTATCAGATAATGCGGTAAATAACATCATTGACAAAGATACTGCATGTGTCATTTGGACAAGGTTAGAAAGCCTATACATATCCAAACGCTGACAAATAAATTGTACCTGAAGAAGCAGTTATATGCCCTACATATGGGTGAAGGTACACATTTTTTGTTACATTTAAATGTGTTTAATGGATTAATCACGCAGCTTACCAACCTCGGAGTAAAGATCGAGGAAGAGGATAAAGTCATCTTACTCTTGAACTCATTGCCATCTTTATATGATAATTTGGCAACAACCATCCTGCACGGTAAAATCACTATTGAGTTGAAGGATGTCACATCGACTCTTCTACTCAATGAGAAGATGAGAAAGAAGCCTGAAAATTAAGGACATGCTCTCATCACAGAAGGTAGAGGCAGGAGTTACCAAAGGAGTTCAAGCAACTATGGTAGATCCGGAGGTCGTGGAAAGTCCAAGAACCGATCCAAATCAAAAGCCAGAAATTACTACAATTGCGATCAACCGGGTCACATCAAAATAGATTGCCCAAATCTAAGAAAGGGCAAAGGTGAAAGCAGTGGCCAGAAGAATAATGACAACACAACCGCCATGGTGCAAAACACTGATAATGTTGTCCTCTTTATAAATGAAAAAGAGGAATGCATGCACTTGGCAGGTCCAGATTCGGAATGGATAGTTGACACAATTGCATCTTACCATGCCACACCGGTAAGAGAATTTTTTTGCAAATATGTAGCAGGTGATTTCGGCAATGTGAGAATGGGTAACACGAGTTACTCAAAGATTGTGGGGATCGGTCACATTTATATCAAGACAAATGTCGGATGCACATTAGTTCTAAAGGACGTGCGACATGTACCTAATTTGCAGATAAACTTAATCTCGAGAATAGCTTTGGACCGAAATAGATACGAGAACTATTTTACAAATAAAAAATAGAGACTCACCAAGGGATCATTGGTGATTGCAAAGGGAGTTGCTCGTGGCACGTTGTACAGGACAAATACAGAAATATACCGAGGTGAATTGAATGCGGCACAAGATGAGATTTTTGCAGATGTGTGGAACAAAAGAATGGGCCATATGAGCGAGAAGGGATTGCAATTTCTTTCAGGAAATCACTCATCTCTTTTGCCAAAGGTACAACGGTAAAACCTTGTAACTACTATTTATTTGGTAAGCAACATAGAGTCTGATTTCAGACATCGTCTGAAAGAAAATTGAATATACTTGATTTAGTATATTATGATGTTTGTGGTTCAATGGAAATAGAATCTATGGGTGGTAACAAATATTTTGTTACTTTTATTGATGATGCTTCACGAAAATTGTGGGTTTATATCTTGAAAACCAAAGATCACATGTTTCAAGTTTTTCAGAAGTTTCATGCTCTGGTGAAAAGGGAGACATGCCAAAAGCTAAAGCATATCCGAACTGACAATGGAGGTGAGTACACTTCAAGGGAATTTAAAGAGTACTGTTTAAGTCATGGGATCAGACATGAAAAGACAGTTCCTGAAACCCCACAACACAATGGGGTAGCTGAGAGGATGAACCACACCATTGTTGAGAATGTGAGAAGTATGCGCAGAATGGCTAAGCTGCCTAAGTCATTCTGGGGTGAAGCAGTTCAGACAGTCTGTTACCTGATCAATAGGAGTCCATCAGTTCCATTGGAGTTTGACATCCCAGAGAGAGTTTGGACCAACAATGAGGTGTCCTACTCACATCTAAAAGTGTTCGATTGCAAAGATTTTGCACATGTACCAAAGGAGCAGAGAACAAAGCTGGATGATAAATTTGTTCCCTGCATATTTGATGTCGCCCAAACTCACACCACTAATTGGGATTGTGAGGCGGTCGATGCAATTATAATTACCCAATGCGAGTCGAGGTTGATTCCACATAGAGTTTTATGTTGGATTAGGTATATACCTAGTCTAAGTATATGACGTGCCCAAGATTACATTTCCATATATTCAGTTGTTTCTTTTCTACTTCTAAATCTTATGCTAATGCTGTAATTGTAAAGCTAAAGGACGATGTTTTTGGTATTGTTGTTTTTCAGGTTATAAAAGATCTAGGGTTGTAACTTCCTCCTAGTTGGTTACCTAATGGATTGAGAGCTTTAGGGCATGTTTGGTTGGTCAGGATACAATATAGCAATCACACGCGATTACTCACTCTATACCTCTTGGTAGTTTGAATGATTTTTCCCAATTTGGCTTTCTCAAATCCAAATGGGTATCTCACGAAACAAGTGATATGTGCTCAAGTCGGGTCTTACTATCTCTAGATTCGACCCTTTAATTGGGGCTATCAAATTCTCGAGTTTACCCCAATTTCTTGTTAGCCAAGTTTTTCTAGACTTAGTCTCTCTTTCTCAAGTAGAGACTAAGTCAATTAAGCATGAATCAATGTTTGCAACCATCAATTCTCAAATTCAAGCAAGAACTAGGCTAAATATCATATACCCAATCATAAATAAGCTCTAATTCAATCACTCATTAAGTACCCATACTAGGGTTGGGTCACAACCATAGCTAAGGGTTTAGCTACACATAGAAAATAAAGAAATTAAAGAAAAAACTAAGATAAATCTCATAATAGATGATTAAGGGAAGAAAATCTAATGTTAAAATGATAAACTATTACAAAGTTGCCCAAAACAGTAAAGAAAAACGGCTATCTATTTTCTGGAGTTCAAACTTAACCTAAAAATGAAAGAAAGATCTATTTATACCCAGCTAAAATTATCGGACAAAATTGCCCCTGCGGAGATTCTGCGGCCGTACAATTATGTGTGTAGTCCGCACTTTGACACTAGCTTGACAGGATGGACTTTTGTGGCCGCACGATTCTGGGTTGGCGGCCATACAATTCTGGGTTGCGACCGCACTTCTTCAAGCGGTCCGCACATTTCTGAGTACGGCCGCACTCTCGAGTTTTAGCTTGGACATGCAAGACTTCTGCGGACCACACATTTCTGAGTGCGATCGCACTTTTGATTCTGCATCCGCACAATAATAGTGCGGTCCATACTTCTTCATGACCCCAGAATCAATCTCTCTGAACCTCATCTTCTGCGGCCGCACAATAATTGTGCGGTCTGCACTTTGCATGGAAATTTTGTGAGAAGCTTCCTCATGTTCTGCGGCCGCACTCAATATTGTGTGGTCCGCATTTTGCCCTTTTAGCTTTGTTTTGATCCTTGTCCAAAATTACTCCTTCTTGAGTTGATTTTTATCTCTTTGACTCATATTCCAACACTCCTGTAATAAAGCACATTTCATCAATTTTCGGGAATATCTTTAAGCA